TTTTAGTTTTTTGCCTTGGTCTTGCCTCAGCACACCTACAGCACACCTACCAGTTTTCCCGATTGTGGAGAATGATGCTTTTCTTCTCTTTTAGATAAACTTTTAAAATGAAGTTATTTTCAAATTTCAGGACAAGCATATCAGCTTTTAGTTGGTGTCGAGTATGTTGTTGGACGTAAGAATTGTGCAATTTTAATTCAAGATGATCAGTCAATCAGCCGAAGTCATGCAGTCCTTTCTGTTAGTCATCCCCAGATGAATCTTGTAAGTGTCTGGCATACAATGTTATAAATGAATTGGGAAATGTTTTTTCTGTTAGTCACATCAGTAGATGTACTGGGAGATTCGGAAACTTCTGTTTAAAAAGAGTTTGAAATGATAGAGAAAAGATAGCAAGCATGTAAAACTAAAGGACATTAGATTAAAAACAATAAGGGCAACTGTTTTTGGTGTTTGAAAAGTTTTTTTAATATCATTTTCAGAGTCAATCCTCTTCATTTCCCGTGTTAACATTAAATGACACATCTAAATATGGTACTTTTGTTAATGGAGAAAAACTACAAAATGGTATTCCTAGAACATTGGAATCTGGTGACAGAATAACTTTTGGAGTCTTTGAAAGCAAGTATAGGTATGATAAATTTCTGCTTACTTTAAAATGTTTAGAGGAAACCACTTGAGTTTGGGCTACTCTTTAAAAGCCATAGAGTAGATCTAAAAATTAGTGAGAAAGAAACGAAACATTGTAATTTCAAACCTTTTCTAGAAAAGCTTTGAAACTCTGTATCAGTAATAGCAAAAAAGAGCCATACACCAAAATCCAGTTGTGCATTTACGCAAAAGGCATCACTTTTAGAGGTGCTTTGTCTCAAGTTGAAAAATCTCAGTGGATATTACCTCTTATATATTGAGTTGCATGACTCACAACAGGATTTCAGGCAGTAATTACTAAGCTCTTTTAAAAGATAATCAGGTCTGCAATTCTTCACCACTTAACTAAATGCCACAGACGTCCAGAAACACAGTCTGGGATTTCACTACGCATATCTCCATGTGATCCTGAATCAGTTAAAAAATCTTCCAGAGGTCTTTTACACACTTATGAGATTCTGCCCTTTCTTCTTCATTGCACAATGTGCATAGGACAGCTCTAAGATACATCTTCCAAATTCACCTTTTCTGTGGAGCCTTTAGCTCAGTGTCCTAGTTCTCATGCTGCAGTTCATAACTAAGGGTCAGATTATACATACCCTGAGATGAACTCATGTTTTCCCTTCTTAAAGAGATTTCCTTAGTGCTTTGTGACTCAACAGTTGAATTTTCAAATCAAGCATATGCTTATGTAATAAAAATGTAAGATATTTAGTTAAGAAAAGTCAGTGCTAAGGTTAAAAGAACTTATTTCACCACTTAAGGGAACACAGCTTTTTAAAACATGCTGAAGATATCATTTAGTTTGACCTTAAGCCCAAGGATGTGCAACTTAAAATAACTAAATATTGCTTCATTTCCCTCTCTCTGTTTCCCCTGCACCAAATTTTAGTTGTAATCTCACTGGGGAAGAACCTATTCTCTCTGTAAAGTATTGTATTGTGCTCTGCAAAGCTTCATTATTTATAGATAAATAACTATTCCTTTTTGTTTTTGCTGTGCATTGCAGAGTAGAGTGTGAGTCTTTGGTTGTATGTTCTTCGTGCTTAAATGTTTCACAGAAAACTATGTTAAGTAAAAATGTTCTTCAGCTGGGAGGCTATATAGTGAATGATTGGAAGGAAGAATGTACTCATCTTGCTATGATCTCAGTCAAAGTTACTGTAAAGGTAAGTGCTTCTGGTAAGGCAAGTACAGAATGGTTTTTTCTGGGTCAATTTTTTTTAAAAAATTAAGTGATCCATAGCCATATACAGTGGTGCCTCGCAAGATGAATGCCTTGCGGGACGAAAAAACCCACAAGACGATTGGTTTTTGCAATCGCTATGGTGCCTCGCAAGACGGTTTCTTCTATGGCCATGCTTCGCAAGATGGTTCCCCCTCCCTTCAAGACCGATGCCTTGCAAGACAAATAAATTTCATTCGTCTTGTGAGGTTCCCATAGAGAACCTCGGAAGACGATTTTTTCGCAAGACAGTGAAAACATTCATCTTATGGGGCACCATTGTATGTAACAATATCTTTCTTCCTTTCCCACTAATTCATTCATTTGTATGAATGCATTTGCTTTGGGGCCTTCGAGAGATCGCCTTACAGTGTAGCCTTATATGTATTTCTGTTGAAATAAGTCTCATTGTAGTCAATGGGATTTATATCTTATATAGGTGCACAGGATTGCAGCATGAGACAGCAGAGACAAAAATTATTAGAAAGAGCCATTTTGGAATAGAATAAAAAAGAAATGATAGTGGTGAGTGGACAGTGGGATTTAAATGCTTTTGAGATACTGAAACATGAAGTAGTGCCACTGAAAAACATTTATTGAATAATTTGATGGAAAGGTAATCAAACTGAAGTTTGGATGCAGAGGAGTGTAGCTATATGCAGTATCTACTCATTATGGTATAGTGGATAGGGTGATGAACTAGGACTCAGGAGGTCTGCATTCAAATCTCCACTGAGCCATGGAAACTCACTGGGGGTTTGAAACTGGTAAATGCATTCCTTAAATATCTCAATGGCCTTGAAAGCCCAGTAGGTTCATCAAAAGTCACTTCTGACTTGACAGTACATAACATAACATAAAGGTACATGCATAGCATGTATGTTTCAAGGTGATCATACATGATTTTGATAATGAAATCTTCAAGTGCAGGAATAAAGAAAAGTCTGGTTGTATTAAGTTAGCAAAGAAGCTGCAGAGAAATGTAGATTATAGGAGTAAAAAGGGTGAGTGATTCACAAGTAGGCAGAGGGAAATTGTAGGACTCAGATAAATTGAGATGTATTTGAAAATGATTGAAGTGTGTATGGCAGCTGTTTGCTGTTTATGATAGGATATTATGGTATTCTGTTGGCTGGAGGAGGTAATAAATAATATTATAAATAAAATAAATAAGGCAATTAAAATGCCACCTGTGGACCATGATAGTGAAAGTCTGTTAGGTAAAGGTAAAGATTTTCCTTGACATTTAGTCCAGTCGTGTCTGCCTCTAGGGCACAGTGCTCATCCCCGTTCCAAGCCGTAAAGCCAGCATTTTGTCCATAGACAGTTTCTGTGGTCATGTGGCCAGCGTGACTAGACACGGAATGCCGTTACCTTCACACCATGGTGGTATCTATTTACAGTGGAACCTCAACTTATGAACGTCCCTACCTATGAACATTTCGACTTAGGAACTGCTCCGTTCACAAAATTTTGCTTTGACTTGTGAACAGAGCTTCGACTTACTAATGGAAAAAAGGTGTTCTGTTTAAAAGGTGTTCTACCCTTTTTTAAGCTAAAAGGTGCTTGGTTTTGTTTAAAAGGTGCTTAGGTTAAAAGGTCTTGTGTTTAGAAGGTGTTCCCTCCCCCCTCCTTTCCTGCCCTTTTTTTTTCACCTAAGTTCATCTTAGGTCAAAAGAAGAAAAAAAGAAAAAAAAATTCTCCCCCTAATGGTAGAGTATGGATTAACCAGCTTCGCATTAGTTCCGATGGGAACTAATGCCTCCACTTGCAAACGGCGCCTCTACATAAGAACCAAAAACAGCCAGAAAGGATTAAATGGTTTTCAATGCATTCCTATGGGGAATTTTGCTTCGACTTACGAACTTTTCAACATATGAACACCGTTTCAATATGGATTAAGTTTGTAAGTCTAGGTTCCACTGTATCTACATGTATTTGCATGCTTTCAAACTGCTAGGTTGGCAGGAGCTGGGACAAGCGATGGGAGCTCATTCCATCATGTGGATTTGATCTTACGGCTGCTGGTCTTCTGACCTTGCAGCACAGAGGCTTCTGCAGTTTAACCCACAGTGCTACAACATCTGTTAAAGTACTCTTATATTTGCAAGACGTATTCCTGGTTGGGAAGAGTCTTTATCTAACGCGATGCTACAAACCATGCAGGAATTACATTGGGGTATGTATTAGGGATGAGAAGAGTGATGAATGATCAGAGTAAGACTATTGATTTTGTGCTATTGTGCATTACAGTAATAATTTTTTGCTTTATTTGTAGACAATATGTTCATTGATTTGTGGTCGACCTATTGTGAAGCCAGAATATTTCACTGAATTAATTAAAGCGATTCAGGCAAAACAGCAGTTACCAACACCCGAAAGGTAATGATGTATAAGATATGTCTCAGATATTGAAAGGGCTTAATTGCTGTAGTTGTATAGTCTAATATGTAGTTCTTGTTAAAATTATGTAAGATTTTCAAAATTCCCTAGCTGTGGCACACATCTCATTCAGATAATGCATACGCATTATATTTCATACAGTACCTACAGAACATGTTGAAAAACAGCCCTGACACTTGCTTAGTGCTTGTGTGAGAAGTGATTATCTGATGAAAGAAAAAGTTCTGGAATTTGCCCCTGCTTGATGTCACTTCATGAAGGATAGTGAGCACAAGATGGTATCTTGTAGACCAGTGGTTCTCAACTTTTTAATCCCCCAATGTTATTCGACTAAAAATCAAAGAAGCCTTCACCGCTAGTTCTGCTGGCCAAGATTTTTGGGAGTTGTCTATATTGTGTTTTCTACCACTGACCTTGGGTTACGAAAGTTCTTCAGTAACTGCAGGATATCCTCAGTTATACTGGTTTCATTTTCACAGGTTGCTATAGAGATCTCTATGGTAATATTTTCAAAGTAGTGTATTTACATTTGGGAATACAGGTATGTGCACTAACCAAACATTGCTTTTAAATGAAATTATATACAGTGGTGCCTCACACAACGATGTTAATTGGTTCCAAAAAAATCAACGTTGTGTGAAACATCGTTCTGTGAAACACCATTTCCCATAGGAATGCATTGAAAACCGGTTAATCCGTTCCAATTGGAACGGATTGCCATCGCTGAGTGAAAATCCCCATAGGAAACATCGCTGTGTGAAACAATGTTTTCTCCATTGGAATGTATTGAAGCCGACTCAATACATTTCAATGGCTTTGCGAAGTCCTTTTTCGCTCCTCTAAAAGTGTCTTACAATGTTTGGAAGCCGTTTTAAATGCTTGCAATGGTTAGCCCACCTCCTGAAACCTATGCAAACTGATTTTGGTGTTGTTCTGACACTTCGTTAATTTATGGTAATTTTTTGTTTTCTCCATTGAAAACCATTGAATGGTCTGTCTAATGGTTTCCAATGGAGAAAACAAAAAATCATCATAAATTAACGAAGTGTCAGAACAACACCAAAATCAGTTTGCATAGGGTTCAGGAGGTGGGCTAACCATTGCAACCATTTAAAA